GCAGGCTCAGGGGTGATCTGATGGCCACCTATAAGTTTATCAGGAGTGACCACCAGGATCTGGGGGAACATTTGTTCACCAGAGCGCCCCAAGGGATGACGAGGTCAAACAGTCATAAACTCCTACAAGACCGTTTCAGGCTGGACATAAGGAAGACTTTCTTTACTGTCCAAGCCCCCAAGGTCTGGAACAACCTGCCATCGGAGGTGGTTCAAGCACCTACACTGAACACCTTCAAGAGCAAATTGGATGCTTATCTTGCTGGGATCCTATGACCCCAGCTGACTTCCTGCCCTTTGGGCGGGGGGCTGGACTCGATCTTCCGAGGTCCCTTCCAGCCCTAATGTATATGAAATCTATGAAATCTGGTGGCCAATTTCTGAGCTTGCTACGTGCTTTTTTGTGCACATATCTTCAGCCCATGAGCAAACCTCAAGAGCATGGTGGGGCAAAGAAGGGCGGTTGGGAGACAGAAGCACCACAGGACACATAACAGGTGACCTATTTATCGAGTAACCTTGCTGGGAAAAAGTACCACCATACTATAGGAAAGTTTCGTCAGCAGCCAGTTTCTTTCCACTCAGCCATGCGTCTAACCCTCTGTTGACAAGTTGTTTTCTAAGAACCTAGTCTTGTGCTGGAAAAGCCCAAGCCCTGCACCTAGATCTTACAAAACTGCGTGGGCAGTGAGAGGCAGGTTTGTACTGGATCCAGCTTTGAGTTTCAACATAAAAGACAAGGATGGGGAATCTACGCTACCAGTTTCAAAACCCAGGTGTTTGGGTGATCATGGCTGCTTTTTTTATAAATCTAAAAGAAAAAGGGAAACAAGCGGAAAAGGGAAGAAAGTTTTAGCTGAGGCGACAGCAGCTGCACTATAAATACGTGTGAAACAGAAAGGTTTAAAGATGTTTTCTGCCTGTGGAGAGAGACTCAGATTTCCCAAGGGGAGTGGGTGTTATATCCTATGCCCCACAAGCATGCTCTCCTGGGAAACCAAACCGTTACCTCCTTCCTTTTAAGGAAGACTGAGTTTCAACAAGGAGTTCTCAAATCTAGCCAGTTCACGCAGCGTTTAGGGGCACTGAAAACCAAGGGTCCCAGAAAGTCAAAGTTTTACATGCAGCTACAAGAAGAATGCAGGGTGCATGTGACATGAACACTCTTGAGTGTACACCACTGGGGAGCAGGTATACCAGTGTCAGAAATATCAATAACAACACTAACTTAGTCTTCAGAGCAATAACTCACTGACTACTGAATTTATAGCTGCAGATGTAGGCGTGATCCATTACAGTAGAGAAGTGTAACTAGAAATGCTAGCTGGCCTACATCTCAGACCAGCAGTGAATCATTCACCACCATGACAAGTCTGATCTCTACTCAAAAGGGACACTTATGTCCATCCAAGGTATCCATCCAAGAATCAACCAGCCACAGCCTTCTGCAACAACTTCCCTCAAAAGTTATTATAAAGACATAGCTGGCATGCAGACTAGCTCCAGACATGCTTTTTTTGAGATGGGGGCACAATCCTGTAGGTTAAGGGATAGCAGGCAGGTAACCACCCCAACACAGTTTTGGGACTGCTCATCAACAATGTCACCATACCTGCCAATTTTCTTTTAAGCCATCAAGACCACGAGGGGTAGAAGGTGCCAGTAGTAAATCTCAGGAAAGCACTAGACGCAGCACATTAGTGCCAAAATCCAAGATGAACTCCAAGTGAAACATCTTGTTGGAAGTCCAGGGCTCTCTGTCAAAAAGCTTGAAAAAGCCACCCCAGAAGCAATCTTATCCATCTCTGAAACACACAGTCCAGGGAGGCTCTCTGAGATCAAGTGAAGGAAGTAAAGGGATGTGGCTTAATCAAACTATAGGTTACCCAAAAGAGTTCAGTTAGGCAGATCAGGTGAGTGTCTAAGACAAGTGTCTTCTCTTGGTTTTATTCACAGCTCAGCACATGTATCCTGTCATGTGCCTATGGGACTCAATCACAGTCTTACCCTGTTAAATATAAGCCTCACAAGTAAGGGACAATACGGCTTCAGAAAGTGTCTTGGCATCCTCTTGTGAGATATTAATCCTTTCTGGAGCAAGATATGTCGATTGTGAAAAACTGTGGTTTAGGAAAACTATGTCTATTCTTTTTTCACTGGCACAAATACCGGAGCATTGTTTTCATAACAACAACAATAAAAAATTTAACAACCTCTGAGATATTATTTACCAACTGAAATCACAACTATGATAGAGTGGACTATTATTTTGCATTGACATTCCAATTAAACTCACCTCTGGCAAACAAAACTCAGGCACGGAGTCGACAAACACATGGCCAGAACAGTCCTTTAGCTCCTATAAGAAAAGGATATTAAGAGATGAGGGTGGTGGGAGAGGATATATATATATATAAAAATGAACCCAAGGACATTTTCCAACACCAAAAGTTATACCACTTCAAATCTTTGGGAGATCCCTTCATTTACCATAGGCAAATTCCACATTTTGCTACTTTAATAGCTTATTCCAAAATCAAATGCCCCTTTTCTGCACGGAGAGTTTGCCTGCCATGTACCTCATGGGGGATTTGCTGCTCAGGAGATTAGGACCGGTTTTGAACACCGAAATAAGACAACATGAAGGTGTTCCTGACCACCTCATGTTTGAGAAAGGCCAAGTTTGAAAAGGGTTGAGTTACAAAAAGAGAAGTAAAAGAATCTTTCTCCAGTGCCATCAGAACATGGGTTTCCAGCTAAGGCTGGAGATGCACTAGCTAGGATTTACCGATTACAAGTTCATTTGCTTTGAAGAGCAGATCTATCTGCTCTGGTTTTGTGATTCAGTTTTTAGAAATAAAGCAAGCCCTGCAGAACAGGAGATGGAAGGGCCTGCTATTAGGACCTCTTCCATCTCTGTCTGCAGAGTCTGCTCAACAACTTTTAAGTCTTTTAAGGTATTTTATCATTTGGAGCCCAGTCCTGATCCTAATTAAATCAATGAAAGTCTGACAATAATAAGAGCAAGATATGGCTTGTAGACTATACGTCAGCATTTTACCCAGCATCTTCCCCTGGTTTAAATTTTGTGTTATGTCTCCTGTTTGGTTTCATCTCCTTCAATCTTGATTTTTTCCAAGACTGCATCATCAACTTCAGACTTTGGACAGAAAACTCAAAACTTGCAAAGTTATGCATCTCAGGGAAATGAAAGAGGTCTCAAATCTCACCCCAGCCAACGTCCTGCATGTTGTAAGTCAGCCACACACAACCTGTTCTTATAAACACTTGTTTCCTGTCCCAAAGACAGTGGTCCCAGCCAGCCTTAGACTGGCAGAATTAAAGACTGAACCCAATTCTTAATAATTACAGTGCACCTGCCAACTAAAAACAAATGAGCAATTACATCTAATGGCAGAAGTCTCCTAACCTCATCTCCAGGGAGTTAAGAATGATTAAAGCTAGATCATGGTGAATTTCAATATCTCTCATGGACTTTGATAGCATTATGCTGTGCAGTTACAAAACCTACGTGAGAGATGTCCTCCTTACATGATTAAATGTCTTCCTTAACCCTTGCCCCCTTCTTTTCCACCATCAGTCAAAGAATCTGTCATTCAAAGCTGTTGCAGTGGTCAGTGTTAGGGTAGGAGTTGCTGCCTTTACATTAATATAACATGATTTCAACTGATGCTGTATTGGCTCAAAGAGCCTTCTGAATCCATACAATACCAAGGGGACTACAGAAATTCAGATACACTGTCTAAAACGACACCAATAGCCTACCATGTCTCTGCGTACAGTCTATATGGTAAAAAAAGAGATATACTCTGACTTGGTCCTGATAGGCATTTAGACTGGCATTTATTTTCAAAAGCAGTATAGTCCAGGGCATCAGACTGGGAGTAAAGAGAACTGGGCTTCTTCCAGTTCTGCCACTGACCCACTTTGGGGAAGTCACTTGACTGTGGTGTTGAGTAAGTACAATTGCTTTCTTCAACCAAAGGAAAATCTGGCCTTCAATATGGGAATTTCTGTTTCCCTACCTCCAAAAGAACCAGAGCAGCAACCCTTTCCCAATTCTTAAGTCACACATAAGTGTCCATTACAGCTTTCAAAATTGCGGCTGTCATGTAAAGAAAAAGAAGCGATTAAAATGGTAGCTTCTTTAATAACATCTATAACTACATATATATGAATTGCATCTGCCTATTTTATTGGCATTACACAAGGCTTTATGCCTGTTATTTCTCCTGCGGGAGATCAAGCTGGATGCTTCAACAGAATGCTCAGATAAATTCTGGCAACAAAGACTTTGCAATGGCAGACAATGTGAGAGGCAGAAAGATCACACCTCTCAAGTGAAGCTGGAATGACAGGTTAGGAGGAAATCTTGTCCAATAAAATTCAGTGACAAAACTCCTATTGACTTCAGCAGAGCCAGGATTTCTCCCCAAGAATCCAGTCCCCCCTCCACCACAGACTTTCTGTATGACCTTGGACAAATCACTCCATCTTTCTCAGTTATCATCATTGAAAAAAAACAGGGATAACTTACCTAAGTGATTTATGAGGCGCGAGTGTCAGTGAAATACTTTGAGATCTCTGAATGAAAAGCATTATGGAATCGCTAAGTATTATTAGAGATGAAGCCCCACGCAATAAGAGAAAATACAAAGAAGTCACACTGACTGCCTCGGCATTTTAAAAGGGTTCTTAAAACCAGCTACCTCTGAAGACTGAACGCCTCAGAGCCACTATTCAGATTTTGTATCAAAACATTCTGCTCCACCAAGGACGTCTCTGATGTTAATGGCATGCACAGAAATATATGCAAGGAGTCAGCACACAAATATTGTTACTGTACTGCAGCTCCATCCATGTCAGGTGTTTTTTTGCATGGCAAGGATATTCTACAATCAGTACATTACCTTGTCCAGAAAAGTGTTTCCGTCTTTTAAAACCCAGCCAGGGAGTTTGGACAGCCTGGGACTGCAAAGAAAAAAAAAATATTTGTAAAATAAATGAACCCGTTGTTTTTTGTTAAGCTCAGACTTTGTACTTGGTGTAGTAGGAGAATCAGAACACAATCCTTGCCTCGAGGAATGTACAATCTCAATAAAAAGGGTTACACAATTTCATGGTGTTTAAGTGTTCATTGACATAATGATTACAACTCACAGTTATGGCACCTGTTTGGTAAGAAAACTAGTAGAAGCAAGGATATGTGAGGATTTTGAACCGAGTTACTTATGGTAGGACTTCTAATAAGCATACAGCACTGTCATCTCCACTGAGGTCAACAATAAAAATAAGAGCAAGGAGGAGCAACACTAAGCACTTTGTAAAATCCCACTGTTAAACTATACACAGAAATGAAGCCAGTTCTGGGATGGAAGGTAGTAACTCAACTAATGTACTACATCAGAGAAAGAGTAAATGCAAAACAAGGTTACTGGGGAACCATACGATCTTTATGTCCACCTAAAACATGGCTTCATATATAGATGTTATATAGATGACCCATATGGATTGCCTAAAAATATAGCTACCTGTGCTACAGGGCGAGGTTACTCTGCATAGATCTGTACTATATCTTTTGGTTGCTATTGTGGGCATGATAGCTTATATTTTAACATCAATAAAGAACCCTCAAGGATGACATCCCAATAAAGCATTTACAGTAGGTATTGCTGCCACGCTCCCTGCTACTACAGTGAAGTATCACCACTGACACGCAACACTTGACTTTTGAGGGCCTGCAACTAAGCTGTAAATCTCTGTCTGCTCAGATCTAAGGTGCTCACATAAATGCAGAAAAAAGAAAGAACACGCAGTTAAGGTGATTCAGTGGACACCACTGAACCAATAAGCCGCCTTAAGTTCCGAGTTTGAGAGAGATCCTGAGGGGGACTCGGATCCTATAATCCTGTTGAATTAGGTAAGATTTGAAGACTTTCTGCACCCAACTCCATGCAGAGGTAGTCAGATATAGGCTAAATAGGCCTCTAAATGAGAGACTTGAGCTGAGGCAGTGACTGAATGGCTCAAGGACAGAGGTGTAGAGGGCTGCATCCATCTCATTAGCATTGCAGATTGCAAGGATGGGAGACAGAGGGGTGATTAAGACTGGAGGGGTGATGGAGACTGAGGACAAGATACAAAGCCAGACAAGCGGGATGAAAAGTCAAGGGACTGAAGGAGTCAATGACTCTCTGAAAACTAGGAGGGTGATTCTCAGTCAGGTTGGAAATGGGCACGGAGGATGAAATGGAGTGAAATTAACTCCTTTCCTGGATTACAAAAACAATTTGACTGCAGTGCACTGGAGACTCAAGGAAGTTCATGTTAAGAAAATGAGAAAGAACTGGAAAAAAAATCCAACTCAAAGGCAGGGTTCAAGGGAAGAACAAGTGCATGCAACATGCTGCAAGTGCTAAACTTTTAGACGAGGGAGATGAGAAAAGAGAAAGAACATTTGGTGTAGTCAACGCCAAGGCAAACAGCTACAGCAGCAAAATTCGTAACTGGGTCCTGGGTGGAAGTAGAATTGAGAGACAGGGGGCAAAAAAAAGACTCTTTTTCTTGAAGTCAAAAAGGAGCACAGTTCCCACTGACATAGTTTTGACATTGTAATGCAGTGATTGATTAATCTAAAATAGCTAGAACTATCACATAAATATTGTGAGCCAGTGTGACACTGTGCTAGACAGGAAAGGTTACATGCACGTTTATTTTACCTCTTTGCATTTGATTTTGTTATAGGAGAGAAAATTTCAGGTGATCCACTTGTTTCCAAGGCCACAGGCTGGCACGAGTGTTTGGGGAAGGTAAATGCATGCTTTATGCATGAATGGTGATGGAACAAGTTGGTAAGAACAGGAAAGGGAGTCTGTGCAGCTCAGGCTAAGCAGTTTTGTGAGCGACTTTGCCAAAGAACCAGAACAGCCAAGAATGTTGCCTCCCTCAATAAGCCAAGAAAAACAGGGCTTCTGTCACACGGAAAATTTTAAGCAAACATGACACAGCTCATTTAAGTTAAAAGAAGAGGCTTCAAGTGGGTCTGTATCAGCTATCTTGAAAGAGGAAGTGCTACCAAGAGGAGAGGAAATCTATCCATTGATTAAGGCACTAGCCCTAGGACTTGGGTTCAACTTTCTTTCCTGCCACTAGTTTTCTGTGAGACCTTAGGCAGTCTCAGACCCCTCTGTGCCTCATTTTACCACCGGGAAAATGCAGAGTAGTGGCACCTTCCTAACACATGGGGGCCTGGAAGTGGAATAATTAGATTTAAAATTGTGAAGTGCAGCTAAGTTAACTAGCAACACATAAGCACAAGACAGAGAGATACAGATCCCTAAGATCCAGCCGTGCTCTTCCATGAGATCTCACTGACACAACTTCCAGCAACACATCCTACATAGAGAGCACTGAAGAGATGGGTTTTGTCCCCAGACCAACATGCTCAGGACATTTGTTGCTGCAAGGGGTGTTCAATTACTTTATTGACATAATTGATTAGATTTGGATCCAATTAGTTGCTTCCGTTATGTCAGAAGGGGTCAAATCTAATATCTTTCCCTATTGAGTTTGAGTCAGTTTTTCTGAGATGTACTGGAGCTGCTAGGGGATTTTAGGTTATGACCTACAATTTGACTGCATATTCACTGTGTCTGCTGTGGGGAAAGGTAGTTAACGTGTCCTCAAGGAGTGTTGATAACAGCAACTGCTAGACCCACCTTCCTCAATCACATAATTTTGCCAATTACTGTGCTCTTCTGTCTTGGGGCAGACTTATGAGCAGCAGCTCTGAAAATATCTGGGATCGTTAGATTTTCAAAATCACTTTAGCATCTACTGCTGTTTCTTGATGTAGCATGTAGGGAGCCCATCAGATTTTGGACAGAGACTAGGTATCCATGCCGACTGTTTCATAAACCATGATTTTCCCATATTTCCATACAGATATGCACTATTGCTCTCCAAATCCACCATTTTAGTAACCTGCTCAATCTTGTGCATGAACAAAACCCACCCTAGTTAAGTGCCTAGTTTCACTGCCTGCTGCACTGGTTTGCAATCATGGTGCTGTGACGCAGGAGGTGCTCTTATTGCTGCTATAGCAGCCAGGTAAAACTGCTCTGCACACAGGGTGTGGCACATACACATGCCTGCTTTATTAGGGCTCTTAGTTTGCACCCTAACGCAGGTGGAACTGTCCTGAGTGCTTTTCCAGGAGGTGCTGTGCAGTATTGGACTGGAAAGGGCTGGAGAATGAGCTTGTTCTCCTGTCTGCTTTAGGCTGATCAGGGAGCCCTACTGAGGCAGGAACATGTGCATGTGCCACAGCCCCTCCTGGGCTGGCTCTGCAGCAGATGCATGGAGCAGTTTTACCTGGCAGCAGCACCATCACCCAGTTGAGAATCTCTGAGATATTGTTGTGCACAACAGTGATTCTCAATGGGGGATGCTGCCACATTCAACGACACTTGTGGAGGGGTGCCCAGATTCTGAAAAGGTTGAGAACCACAGGTCTACTGATCGGAGCACAAACTCAGTGAGCTGACATGTGGGTTCTGCTCTTGGCTCCTCCACCAGCTCACCATGGGTCTCTAGACAAGTCACACACCATCACTACCACTCCAATTCTACCTGCCTCAACCGACGAGGTCAATTAAAATGCTCTTCGTGTAATGATTTGAAAAGTGTAAGCGTTATTTTCTTTTCACTCATTCAGGCTCTGCAGAAGAGCCTGAGAAGGTGGTTAAACAGTACTTTGGGTTCCCTGCACTCAGTTACCCATTTATCTCATCTCGCATGAAGAAGCCAGAAAGATGACAGATATGTGACCTCACTTGTGCTGAGCAGATGCAGCAATACTTTACTGAAGCTTAGAATAAATTATCTGGAAAAACCAATCAATAAATCCATAAAATGTCTTCCGTCTACTGAGCCAAAGGACGTTATTTTGATAAAGGGAATTTTTAAGTGAACAAAGTATATTTATGATATCAGATGATGCTGTTCATTTGTATCCTTCTCCCCCCTCCCTCTGCCAAGACAGCATTTCAAACAAAGCACTCCAACTGCAGCCTGAGACACAAGGACTAAACGCTTACAGGCTGTAGTCCGTACCTCTGAACCAGTGGCAGCGGGAGGAAGTTGAGGGCAGAAGTCATATCCAGTCCGCAGTCTAACATGATGGTGGTGGATTTGAACTTGAGTACGTTGCATGGCAAAGTTGGGTGGCCTGACAAGCAGTACTGAAAGAAGAAAACCAGAATCAGCCAGTGATCAGCCATAACAAAGAAAATGCTACCAAGGTTGTATGCACTGGCTTTGATTATTAACAATGGCGCAGTCTAATGAGATACACAGCTTCCTGGCACTTGGCCTTGCAGGGGAAATTATTCACAGGTAGACTGCGTGGGCAGCAGCCCTAAGTGTACACTCACCTGCTTCCATTTCTCTATGAGTGAACTTAAACCTTGGAGAGTGGGCAATCGCAATCACACTGACAGAACACCCTGTACCCTCGAAATCCCCAAGTGCTTTGCAAGTTTATCAAGCTAATATATGAATTATATAAACAGAGGTCATTTCAGATACACTTGAGAAACATTCACCTCTAGAATGGAGTGGCAAGTATTTAACAACGCACAGCAACAGTTTAAGCCAGAGGCAAAGAATAATTCTCCATGTAATTGAAACTGCAGGTGTAACATAATTGCACGAGTGAGAATGTGGCCAGGAACCAAAGATTAGCTTCCTTTCTTGGGGAAGGAGTTCAAAGGGACTTTTCATGATCAAAAGTGGCCAAGATTTTGGTTTTACATCTCAAAGACAGCACTTCCTCCCTGGTTATATTATGGTCATGCTTAGCTTTTAAATGAATGTTCTGATCAATTAAGACTAAGGATATCAATTAGGTGTTTAAATGTCTGTGCAGTGCTCTGAATACAGAATGCAAGTGTCTAAGTGCCTAGTTCACATTTTAATCATTTGTACCATTTGTTTGCTTCATGCATTTTACTGTGTTTTGTGACTAAGGGTAGATTAGCAAATTTCTAACACCACTCCCAATATATTAGCACAAGTCAAAAATTGTTGAATCACAGCTCCCAAGGAGAATGTTTACCCCAGCCCCCCCAAAGGTGGTTTTCAATCTTACTTAGAAAGCAATTATGAATCTCATGTTAGTCATGAAGCCTTTCTTTTTTGTATTTTCTTAAAATTTAAACCAGAAAACCTAAATTAAATAGTGTTGCTAAAGTCTGGCTGTCAGCACAGCTTTAAAATAACCTCTAGGGCCCACGTTTATGAAGTCTCAAGTATACAGAGTCCCACTGAAGTCAACAGAACCACTCAGGGATGTAAAATGAATTGCAGGCCTGAGACTTGGAGGACTATAACCTTAGCAATCACTGCCATACATCCAGCAAGTGCGAGGAGTTGTAGGAAAAACAAGACATATAAAATAATATTTTTTTAACCCAATTAAACAAGGGGTATTATTTAATAATACTACACAGGTTATTTTTTACTAGGATCTCCCTTACCTTAATCATATAACTCCCCCCTTTTTACCTTGAATGGATGAGTATCCTCTGAAGCCTATTAAAAACATGGGAAATCCCCCTTTTTCTTTATGCCTTATTCATTGTCCCCTATTGACTTTCAGCTAATCTAAGTTATACTGCTTTTAAATTCAATAGGTAATTTCCATCCTGGTTATAACACTTATTATTATCTCAAGCTCATTAAAGCAGACCAGCGGCATGCCCCTGGGCCTGTCTAACCAGTGGGTCTATTTTACTATGAAGTTTATATTTTTATGCATCTCTTCCATTTTTTTTTAAACAGACCTCATTCCCTGTTCTGGACATCTATTCCTTGATTAGAAATCATGACACACAAACAAAGCACCTCCCATTAACATATCTACTTAAGCCCATGGACTGCTCAACAGCCCTACAGAAAGGAGAAAAACAGACTTTGCAAAGGGAGCCGAGATGCTGATAAATGTGGGCTCTGGCAGACAGAAGGAAGAAGAAGGTCCAAACCCAAGTCTAAAGTAAGGCAGAAGGCAAAGCAGGGTGGCACTTTATAGACTAACTTGTTCAGAGAAGCATGAGCTTTCAGAGGCTACAGCTTAGCTCATTGGGTACTAATCCATTCATAGGTCATGGTTCTCTGAATTAGTCTATAAGGTGCCACCCTGCCCTGCTTTCTCCATATGATATCAAAATACACTATAGAAGGAAGCATTCTCTGATGGTGAACTACCTACAAGTAGTGGGGTACTGTTATACCAGATTGAGGAATGAGAGGGGACACATGCTTAATCATTATGCAAAGGATTGATCTACATCAGTGGTTTTCAAACTGTGGTCCATGGACTCTTAGGGGGGTGAAGACTATCACAGAATCATAGAAGTAGGGTCGGAAGGGACCTTATAGATCTTCAAGTCTGACCCCCTGCCAGGGCAGGAGAAAAACTGGGCTCAAATGATCCCAGCCAGGTAGGTATCAAGCCTCCTCTTAAAGACCCCCAGGGTAGGAGCCAGCACCACTTCCCTTGGAAGGGAAGATTAGAATATGTCTAAAAGGTCTATGAAAGATGACTATGATCAATCAAAAGTATGTGAATAACCACACTTACAATTCAAAGGGGTCTGCAGCTCCATTTGCATTTTTAGGGGTCCCTAAATGAAAGGTTAAAAACCACTGATCAATATTGTGCAAGTACATAATCAGATACCAACAATTTCCTTTAGAAGATTCCTGTATTTCTTTGGGTGCTGAGTATGACCATAAACTGCATCCAACTGGCAGGCTGGGTGCTAATGTTGCAGGGCTACTCATGGTGGGGTAACTCCAATAAAATACCCCAATGTTGCAACCTCCAGAGTAAGGCGAGTATAGGGTGCCTCAAAACCCTAGCCTCAACTGCCTTGTGGGTACTCCTTGTCTGGAGAAAGGCTAAGGGACATCACACTGACAAATGTGCCCTCACTGAGGCACTAGGCAGTCAGCAACAGTTCTTATTTGTTGCTCTCTGGCAGACACTACAGCCATGGTGGCACTGAAAATCTGGACTCAGCCTGGCCTTTGGATTCTGTCTCAATGGTCTAAAGTGGGGATGGTAGGCTTTGGGCAGCCCACATACTTTCACCTAGGCATATGCATTGAAGGTCTTGGTGTGATTATAGACCTCTTACATGCATACAACATGATCCAGAGGATCGACAGTTGCCTACTATTGTATTTCTCTGAAATTAAACTGGTAACTGTACTCCAGGCTCTGCTGTCAAAGGAGTGTGGACTGGATAAGCTCCTTAAGTTATGCAGGTATTTTTAAGTAGTACAGTAAAGTCCCCATTATCCAGCATGAGTGGAGAACAGGGTGTGCCAGAAATCTAAAAATACCAGTTACCTGAAGCACAGAGGTTGCTGGCCAGATGCAGAGCTGGGGTAGGTGGGGGTGTG